AGACAGGTCTGAGAAGAATTGTAGACAGACCAGCTGCCTACTCCATGGCCACTGTCCGAACGGACCAACCACCTGGAGACTCAACCTCCTCTAAATAGGGGTTCACTTCTGGGTCCCTCTCGCAATGCGTGTTGCTGGGCTTGAGACACCTAGGCTCTGTTTCAGGACCTGGACTCCAGAAGAGAGTTGGGAAATTTGCACAAAGCAAGGATGGCACCTAGTGGTTGTTTTTATACTGATGCTGTCCCTCTAAACTAGAAAGTAACCAGGGCACTAATGATGTAATGTATGGGGATTAACATAAGAATTAAAAAAAAAAAAAAAAAAAGTAACCAGGGCTACTGGACTAGGCCTGGTGAGGATGGGAGAAAATGCAATGCCCTGGTTGTAAGATGCACCCACTAGATTCAGCAAACTCGAGCAAGGGCAATAAACAACACACATGTGCACTCTAAACTGGACCCTGAATGTTGGGTGAGGGAGAAAGGACCATGTGGGACTACCTGAGAAAATTTTGCCATAGGCTCTCTGTTCATCAAAACTCATTTTGGTTTCTTAAAAGTAGATAGTCTCCCACACTTCACTGATTAAGGATCTAAGTTCTAAGGTGTTCATGTTGGAAGTTTCTAGAATGCACCTATTAAGTATCTATTTGCTGCTCACTTTCGTTGTTGCTGCTTCCTAAAAGATGCTTCCTCAGGCCTGGGTCAGTGTAGTAAAGTCATTCTGATCCCTGGTTGGGAGAAGTTTGTCTCCCCTTTCTCATGACTTCCACGGTACCTCTCTTGTAAAAGTAAATGACATTTACTTCATTCCACTTGTTTTCTAATTAGTTGTTCCACTGTATCTCCCCACTCATCCCCACCCCTAAATTATAAGTGCAGGAAGTAGCAATCGCAGGGGCCTTCAATGCTGCGTGTCAAATGTAATCAACTGTGTGCAAAACACTAAGCACCCAGCTGTGGAAGAAGAAAGGCAAAAAAACCCTTCCTGTTAAAGATTCTCACCTATGCAGAACCCCAGTCCTCCCCTAGCCTCCTGGAGTCCTAAACAAACACACAAAGTCATTCAATCCTGAGGTAACGGCCTGGTAAATATTTTGTGCAAGACTCTATTTACTTTGCCCAAATTGGGATGTTCAGCCACACATACTCCTTAATTAAGGAGCAATTGGATCATTTCTTCCAATGCAATGACCCCAGCCTGAGGAGGGAGAAACAAGAGTGACCACTTCCCAATTTTTAAAAAATAACAATCATCATATGATGTTCCTATCAAATGGAAAAAATAAATTTTAATGTTAGAATATTTCATGATGAAATCAATTCCCTTAACCTATTGGTCCATCCCAAGCCCCACCAGCTGGTCCTGAGGCAGTTTCAAGGAATGAGGTAGTCCTATCTTACTAACTTGGAAAGTCCTCCAAGATATGCTGGGTAATAAAAGTGAGTTCAAGTTGCAGAATACAGTATGATACCATTTATGTGAGAAAAGAAGAAACTACTTATTTTCTAAGGGCACATCTGTATATACCCAAACGCATAGGAAAAGACTTGAGGTGGGGGGCGCCTGGGTGGCTCAGTGGGTTAAACGATGGACTCTTGGTTTCGGCTCAGGTCATGATCACAGGGTCATGGGATCAAGCCCCGTGTGGGGCTCTGTGCTCACTGGGGAGCCTGTTTGAGATTCTCTCCCTCTGCCCCTCCCCCCACTTGTGTGCCCCTCCCCCCCACTTGTGCAAGCTCAGGCTCTCACTTTCTCACTTTAAAATAAATTGTTAAAAAGAAAAAAAAGACTTGGAGGAACCCAGACTCTAAAATAACCATGCTCACCTCTGCACGTAACCACTGCAAGTGGCGAGAAAGGGGATCCAAGGTGGTGGGCCAATTTAGTTTAGCCTTAAACATAATGTTTTCCTCTTTCTTACAAGAATGTATTTGTGTTTTCTAATTAAGATTTCTTTTTTAATGAGGTACCTAGAGTAATCAAATTCAAAGGCAGAAGGGAGAACAGTGTTGCCAGGGGCTATGGGGAAGGGGAGATGAGGAGTTCGTGTTTAATGAGTAAAGAGTGTCAATTTGAGAAGATGAAAAGTTCTGGAGGCGGATGGTGGTGATGGTTGCACAGTGTGAATGTACTTAACGCCACAGTACTGTGTACTTAAATGGTTAAAGGGGTAAATTTTATACTATGTATATTTTACCACAACTTTTTAAAAACTTGTTAAATGTATTTTTTAAATGTTTAAACTCTCGTGAGCGAGCCAACAGCTCAGTTCACAACGAGCCTGGCTTTGGGCAGAAGACTGCCCCCTTGACCGAGGTGGGCTCCTGGGAGTCACCACTGCGGTGCTGGGTGGTTGGACGTGGTGGACACCTGAACAAAACGAAGCCAGTCTCTCCCAGGAATTGGCAGTTTGGACCGGCTCAGGCTCCCAGCGGAAAACAGGGGACACACTCTGAGGGTGTCAGATGAGTTTCATCAAGGGGCTACTTACAAAGGTGTGGCCCGAGTTAGGGGAAATTGGCCAGGGAGGGTGAGGCATTCTAAGACAAAGGCAAAGAAGGCAAAGCCAACCAACACTGCAGCCACGGGAGGAGCAAAGAGGGGACTGTGACCAGCCTCCAGCTAGAGCTAAGCCCCTGCCTCCGCAGCCCCAGGCAAATCATCACCTCCCTCCCAGCCTCCAGGCCCCGCCAGGGCCGCCCACTGGCTGATCCCAACCCGTGGCCAGCCCAGGAGCCAGTCTGAGGCAGTACAGAAAATTCAGCCTCCTAGCACGCGCAGAGCAGATGGAGAAAGCCGGAGAGTGGATGTGGGGAGGCAAGAACACGCAGCTCTCCCGAGAGGCAGCACTAGCTGGATTATAACCTCATAAACGTGGGCACTGTGGAGCAACCAAGTGACGGGGAGACTTTGGGGCAGCAGAGAGCAGCAGAAAAGGGACCTCTTCCTCCTGCCGCCTGCAAACCCTTCCCGAGGCCCAGCTGAACTGTGTGCGGAGATGCTTGGGAATTAAAATACGTCTGTTTTGCTTAAGCTGCCTCCGGTTAAGTTTTTGTTTCTTACAACCAAAGAATCTTTCCTTAATAATATGGAAGAATGAAAAGGCAAACAGAGATTTAGGAAAATATAGGTATAAAGATACAAAAAATAAAATGGAATTAATTACAAAGCTACAAGAGTTCAAACTAATGTAGTACCGGCCGAAGAGAGAGGAGTGGGACAGAATGGACCGTACTGAGACAGACAGACCCTGGGAACACAGGTCTGCAGGACAGAGAAAGGGTGTTAGTGCGTTCGGGCTGCTGAATCAAACTACCAGACAAACAGTACTCACAGTTCTGAAGGCTGAGAAGTCCATGATGAAGGTGCTGGCAGACCTGGTGCCTGCTGAGAACCTGTTTCCTGGCCTGCAGATGGCCGTCCTCAGTGTACCCTCACATGGCGAGAGCAGAGAAAGGAAGCAAGCTCTCTCAGGTCTTCTCTATAAAGGCACTAATCCCACCACGAAGGCTCCACTCTCCTGACTTGATTACCTCCCAAAAGCCCCATCTCCAAATACCATCACATCGGGGATCAGGGTTTCGACATAGGAATTTCGGGAGGACACAAATTCGGTCCATAGGCGACAGTATTAAACAGTGTACAGAAAACTGATGTGTGCAGGGAGAAAACTAAGAGTCTCATCTCACAGGTACCCAGAAAAGAATTCCAAATGGATTACCCACAGAAACACATTTTACATTACAACCTAACATATATATGCCCCTCAACAATTACTCTCAACTACATGCAACATACTGATAGGTTTTACAGTAATTATTTTTTCTACTTTGAAAAATGGTGGTTACAACCAACTTTATTTCCATATGCATTGATAAACCACATCCAGTGACTAGAGAGGTAAATGTGGAAGAAAAAAAAAAGATAAAGATATAAAAGGACTAAAACAAAATACAAGGAATATCTTCCTGGGGAAAGGTTTTTTTAAACTTAAAAATAAGAAAACTATAAAGGAAAATAGTATTGCACAAAAAATGAAAAAGCAAACTGGGGAAAATATTTGTGGCATACGTTTGGCAAGGGTTGAGTATCTTTGATATATAAAAAGGCTTTACGGGTAAATAAGACAAATCTTTTGAGGCAAAGACAAGGACCTGAACTCACAATACTCTACAGAAATACAAGCAGCAATGAACAAAGCAAGTGAACATAGGTTCATAATGAAACAGAAACATGAGCACTGCGTGTGGGGCTAAAAAAATCAATACAGGGCGCCTGGGTGGCTCAGGTGGTTAAGCGACTGCCTTCGGCTCAGGTCATGATCCTAGAGTCCCGGGATCGAGTCCCGCATCGGGCTCCCTGCTCAGCAGGGAGTCTGCTTCTCTCTCTGACCCTTCCCACTCTCATGTGCTCTCTCTCATTCTCTCTCTCTCAAATAAATAAATAAAAAATCTTAAAAAAAAAAAATCAATACAACCTTTCTGGAAAATGATTTAGCAAATTTCTTAAGTCTGAAGAGAATATTCATGTAGTAAGTAACACTACTCCTAAGAATCTCATAAGGATACATTTAAAAAGAAATATAAAATGTGAATAAAAATGTTCACTATAGCATTACTTAAAACAGATTTAGTTCAAGTATAATGGAATATGAAGAACCACAGACAGCATTATTTCAAAGGATAAGTAATGATATTATGTAACAAAGGGTAAAATGAACAGATATTAGGATTCCAATTTCAGAAGAAAACTGTGTGTGCACTCAGGCAAAGAGAAAAAGATTAAAAGGAGATAACCAAAACAATATAAAATGGTTATCTGTTAATATAACTTTATTTTCCTTCTTCATGCTTTTTGGTATTTTCCAAATCTTACTGAATGGATGTCATTAGTTTTAAAACAATAGATTTTAAAAATATATTAAAGGAAAGGAAAACGATTTGATTCATTTCACTTTTCACCTGTGGAAGTGGGGGAGGAGTGTCTGTGCTTACCGTAAGGCTGTGTGGATTTCTTAAAAATGCCCGAGCCAAAAAGGAGTTTGCCTGAGAACTTGCACCCCATCCTCCCTTCTCATGTTGGAAAAATGTCTGACCATTGTTCTGAAAACAAGCTCCTCACCAAGTACTGTGCCTTGGTGTTTGGTGTTCAGTGTCCCAGACACTGTTCCATTTGGTTCTCACGGCATTCTTGTAACAGACAGCACTGTTGTTACTCTCCTGCACAGACCAAAAAAAGAAGAAATTAAGTAGATTTATCATTGCCATGCTGCAGTGTGAGCCCAGAACTGAAGCTTCTGGCCCTAAATTGGGTCCCTCCACAGCACACCAATTGTATTTGTGTTTGCCCTCTTTCATTTCCTGGACCTGATCCTATGATGAATTTCACCAATTGACTTTGCCAGTTGCACAACAATGTAATGTAATGAATGCCACAGAACCGTACGCTTAAAAATCAGTCAAAATGGGGCGCCTGGGTGGCTCAGTTGGTTAAGCGACTGCCTTCAGCTCAGGTCATGATCCCAAGGTCCTGGGATTGAGTCCCGCATCGGGCTCCCTGCTCTGTGGGGAGCCTGCTTCTCCCTCTCCCACTCCCCCTGCTTGTGTTCCCTCTCTCGCTGTGTCTCTCTCTGTCAAATAAATAAAATCTTTAAAAAACAAAACAAAACAAAACAAAAAATCGGTCAAAATGGTGCATTTTATGTGTATTTTACCACAATCAAAGAAAAGGGGAGGAGCCAGATTTTGCTAGCTTAAATATAATAAACAAGGTCAAAGTTGGGCTGAAAATAGCAAGTTTATTTCTTAGGTGTAACCGTATGGTAACAGTACCCATGGTCAGGAGAAAGCTGTCCCCTCAAATGATTAGAATACCCTAATCCAGCTGCCCTAAGTGGGTGTCTGAGGAGACCCCAAACACCAGCATTCCAACTACAATGACTGTGCTGTTAAAAGGAGAAGGATCAGTATGAAGCGAGAGGACCCAGAGCAACATACAGGGAAGCCAAGATCCCAACCCCTTCGATACTAGACTACTCACGGCCCATAACACCAGCTAGTAAGACCATCCAATTCATCTCTCTTATTCCAATTCCACACTCTGGTTCAAAGACAGTCTTCCAGCTATAAAGCCAGTTTACTCTGTCGCCTCCCTGTGCAGAAAGAAGACATGTCACCACCCAACATGAACACTCTGCTCCACTTGAGAGGTAGAATTCTCACTGTAAATACCATCCAAATACCAATTTTTCTTAGAAGCCTGGTTAATGATTTCACTCTGTGAAAATGCAGCGACTGTAAGGACAAAGATAGAACTAGGTTTCTGAACCTGCGAAGCTTTGGCCCAGTTTCGGAGCATTGTGACCACACCAGGCCAGCTAAGGCAGTAGCCAAATGGCTTCAGACTTCAGGGATTGCACTGCCAAGCCATCATGCCCCTTCCCCTCTAACTAGAAAACACACTGTGGTGGGGCCGAGGGTAGAACCAAATGCTTTCATACCTACTTACTTCTTCAGGAAATCCTTTATTTAACTTCAGCAGCCAGTAAGTAGAGTTCTTTCCTCCCCCTTTGAGCTATTATTACCTGCAAATATGCCAGGCAATTTTTAAAGTGGTGATTTTCAACTTTTGGGTTTCTTTTGTTTTCTTAAGATTTTGTCAGAGAGAGAGCACAAGCAGGGAGAGGTGTCGGCCGAGGGAGGAGCAGGCTCCCTGCTAAGCAAGGAGCCCGATGTGGGACTCGATCCCAGGACCCTGGGATCATGACCTGTGCCGAAGGCAGATGCTTAACCAGTCGACTGAGCCACCCGGGTACCTCAACTTTTGGGTTTTTCATTTGACGTTCCTCACCTCCTCAAGTGCATTTATAATTGCCCTGTTCCTCTCAGAATGACCTTCCTATTAAAAGTCATCCACATATTTATGACAATCCATCAGAGTACTGCCAAGTACAGCCCATCTGGTTTTCTCACGGCAAGTCAGCCAGCACTGTGCATCAGAGTGAACCCTACCTATCCGGTGCCTCTGCCAGACTCCCATTTCCTGTCTGAATGATGCCTGCTCATCTGTCCACATTCCTGTGACCTCTCGTTCTGCATCTTCCAATCCATATACAATTTGGACACATAATGGGTCAGCACAAGGGACAGTGCTGAGGGGCCATAAACCTGAGGACCACAACATTGGATTAAAAAAACAAACTGTATGCCTGAGTTGCCTTCAAAGAAGGGATCAACAAACGGTCATACAGAGGGCGGACATCATAACCACTGTGGCCTGGGAGGACTCACCAGGAACATCACTTAAGAGTTGAAAGAAATCAGGGCTAAAGGTTGTCATGAATTCAGATTTGAAGAGAACGAAGAGTTAAATAGACGTTAATCCTTCCTACGTTATGGACACTCTCTTGGATGGGTCCCTTGGGGTTTCTCTTCTCTCACTCTGATGCTGGAGCATCAGGCCTGGGTGCTCTTCCTATGTACCTTCACTCCATGGGAAGCTCATCCAGTCTTGTGGCTTTACTGTCACATACATGTCAATACCAAATCTCCGCCTCCCTTTCGACCTTTCCCCAAGTCAGCTGGGTATGTATTCACATTCCTAATTAGGTATCTGTAACTCAACATGTCTAAAACTCAATTCCTGATCTACTTTTCTAAAACCTGCTCCACCCACAGCATCATCCAGGTGCTCTAGGGAAAAAACACCTGGGAGTCTTCCCTGACTCCTCTGCCTCCCCCATAAGAAATCCCATTAGCTCTAACTTTAAAACAATCCAGAAACCAACCAAACTCCATGACCACCACCCTAGCCTAAGTCACCATCATCTCTCATTTGGATTACTGCAAAAGTATCCTACTGGCTTCTGACTGTTAGGATGCAGTCCTTCAATTTCTCAACATAGCACTAGGGTGATACAAAATCCTCAACACAGAAGTCAGAGCAGAGCACCCCTCTGCTCAAACACTGCAACAGTGTTTCATTGAGAGCATGACCAGTCCCTACAGTGGCCTGAAAGGCCTTTGCAACCTGACTGCTCATTATCTCTCCGCTAACCTCTTGATGCACTCTCCCTTTCTCCCTCCATTCCAGTCTCACTGACATCTGTAACACAATCACAGGCATGTGCTAGCCACAGGGCCTTTGCTGTTTCTTCACTCAGAACACTCTTCCCCAGATACCCACTTGGTAACTCCCTCACCCCTCCTAGTCTGTTAAGTCTCCCCTTCTCAATAAACCCTAACCTGATCGTGTATTTAATTCTGCAACCTACACCCCCGCCCCCGCACCCAGGCTCCCCATTTCCTTACTCCACTTTTTCTCCCCAGAAGTTACCACCCTCTAACATACTACATTGAATTTACTTACTCTTGATACAGTGTTTTTTGCCTAGATCTCTCTGGTAGAACGTCAGCTCCTCAGGACAGAATCAGTGATGTATACCAAGCAACCACATAATCCCTGGCACAGAGTTGGCAATCAATAAATATTTGTTAAATGAACGAACGTGCAATGCTAAGAGTTAACTTCCACAGGAAACAGCCTTATATAGCATCAATATACCCAGTGTTCTCACTACCAAGATCCTGTTTCTGACCCTCAAACATCCCTCTGCACTAAAACTTCAGAAGTCCCAAACCTAAAAGCTGGACATCTACTTATGTCAAAACATACTCTATATTCATCTATACCCAAAGAACTACTTTTTACAAATTAATCTCAAATATCAGTTACCTATATTTAGTATTCTTGCCAAAAAACATTTAAGCCAGAATCTAATCATAAGGAAACAGACAAATCCAGGTTATAAAACATTCTCTAACACAGCTTAATTTATGTGAAATCATTTAAACATCAAAATCATGAAACACAAACACACAAGGGAGAATTCTGGATTAATAGAGCAACACACACACACACACAAATAGAGCAATAACAACTAAATACAATGTGTAATCCTTGGTGATGATGGAAGGTTAACTTTTCAAAATCAAAGGTTGGGAAGAAAATTATCTCAGAAAAGATGACCCTACCCACAGAAAATGTTGCCTGGATTAGGAATGGAACAACATAGTGAAAAATACCCTGAAACCAGAAATGTCTTTGAGACAAGCCTAATTAAGCCCTGGATTTGTCTAACCCCCAAAATAATGAGTAAGCAATCACTACACACCGTACTCGACTCCTTCAGGGAGAGTCACGTGCAGGGAAAGGAGACTCACAGACCACAAAGCAGGACCCAGTGGATGAGCACCTCCATCCTGGTGATGCCGCTGCAGCCTCAGGCTATGAACGCATCACCCAGCCAAGCGGGGCTGCATCTAAATTCAAAGTTCTTGGTTCTTCCACTTCATTACAAATTCTAGGTTTTCCAACAAACCCAGAGAGCGTGCTTACCTTTTAACGCTAGTGGAGTAAGATCACTTCCTCGAAACCTGCACACAAGCCCAAACGTGGCTGTGTTCCTCTACATATACCACAAGACAAGCACCGGGTAAAGATGAATATTTATTCACTTTACAAAGAGAATGGTATTAAATTGCCATAAACAGTTCCATTTATAGACAAATATAACTGTACATTACGCCAGTAGCGGCTCAAACTTGTTTTCCCAAGATGCTTGTGTGGCTCCAGCTCTATGAGTTGAGCACAGAAATCTCTGTTCTGCCATTGAAGTTAAAAAGTCCCTCAGAGATAATGGTTTTGTGTTCTACATATTCACAGGTGGTAAAAATAAACCCATCTCCCCAGCCCTCCCTTAGAGTTGAGCTTCCATCTGCATTGTTCCCTAGAGAGCACTACACAAATACTGGCTCATTCTTTTAATTTAAAAAAAAAAATTACTGATAATTTGAAAAGGCTTTTGTAGCACACCAAAATACTTATTTATACATACATAAAAAATCTTGAGTCAGATTTATTATTTTAAAGGTAAACAGATACCCTAACATTGCCAAGAGTGGGTAATGAAAAGGAAGGAAAACATTAAATTACTGAATTATAAAAATATTTTCTTTGGAAAAAAATTCCAACAAGGTTATCATTAATATCTAAAACCAAAGAGAAAAAATAAACAGTTGTTCTTTGATCCATTAGTAATTTAAATAAAAATGAAAACCTCTTCAAAAGCAGCTATAACTGAATTTTTTAAAAAGTTGCAGATAATGAGTACTTCTAAATCTATACACTGATGATTCTTTACAGGCAACTTGCAGTCAAGAAAAATCCTTAATATGGCTAATTCTTTAGTTTTTTAATTACCATAATTTTTTGTGTTTTAAAAAAATATTCCACATGACAGCTTAAAAAATAAGTGGCTGTTTGGGGGAAGCACTCCAAATACTCAACCTGACTCAAATCAGATCACCACCATTAATAGCAAGCTAGGTATACTGATACTTAAAAGTTTTTAAATCCCAACTGTTTTTGCTCCGAATCTTTAGTTATCCCTTCATATTTTATGAAAATGTACCAAATTAAAAATTGTTTTCACTAGTGCCGCTTTGTATCTGGATCTGATGAAAGATACCAACCTGAGATAAGAGCTGACTCCTTCACAAAAGTCCAGTTTTTGAAACCCTACATGGGAGATGTCTGTGTCTTCACTTATGTCAATTCTTGCTATAACCAACCATACTGGGATATTATATTATAAAAATATACCATATATTGGACACTCATGTCAGTACATTGCAGAAAAGGTGTCTATTTGCTGTGTAAAGTTTATTAACATTTGAAGGAAACACTCTTATATACACAGTGAAGTCTGGGGTGCTCAGGACAGCGAGACGGCACGGGAACCACCACGAGGAATCTGGAAATGTGCAACGGTCCTTGGCGCCTGTCCCAGAGACAACCCTTCCCAGGAGAACTCGGCAGCATTGGGGAGGGTGTACCGGAGATGACAGCTCCATCGGCTTGTTCTCCGTCCTCATTCTTCTTCACTTTCATTTTCAGGATCTAAGTCAGAATCTCCATTTAATTCTTTCTCACTGGCTACATCCCTGTCCTCCTCCCCATTCTCTTCATCTTTTTCTTCAGCATCTTCCTCCTCCTCATCGTTCTCATCAACATCCTCATCTTTTTCACTTTCTTTCTCTTCCTCATCTTCATCCCAGTTATCCTGGTGGAAAGAGATGAAGCACTTTAGAAAGCATTCATGAAGTCCTTGTTCGTACAGAACACAAGGGTGTAAAGGCAGATTTATGCACCAGGAAACAAGGTACTCACATCAGAGTCCTTCTCTGCAATTTCGTCATCTGACTCCTCTTCAGAAGATTCTGCAAGGGGAAAAACGCAGCCCTAAGTTGGTGATCAACAAGCAGAGGGCAGAGCCCTAACAACTAAACAGAGTCCGATTCCTGAATTTACTTTTAGAAATACTACATTCAGCTACCATCCATCTAAGCAGTAACATTAATATTCTTATCTGCATAAAAGTCCATTTATCAAGATCTCACTGAGTAGGACAAAGTACCAAAACCCTAACAAAATCCATCTTAAAAAACTAAGCCGTGGATGTGGAAAAAAGGAAACCCTCATGGTACTGTTGGTAGAAATGTAAATTGGTGCCGTCATTATTCAAAACAGTATGGAGGCTCCCTAAGAAAGTAAAAACTAAAAATAAAGCTACCAGATGATCCACCAATTCCACTGCTGGGTATATGTCACAGGAAACGAAATCAGGATCTAAGAGATACCTGCACCCCCATGTTCACTGCAGCATTATTTACAATAGCCAAGACATAGGAACAACCTGAGAGTCCATCGATGGACTGGATGGATGGTTAAAGAAAATGTGATATACATTCAGCCATTAAATTCCATTTAGCTATTAAAAAAAAGGAAACCCTCCCATTTGTGACAAATGGATGGGCCTGGAGGGCACTGTACCAGGTGCAGTAAGTCTGACAGAGAACGGTAAATACTGTATGATCTTACTTAGATGTGCAATCTAAAACACCAAACCAATAGACACAGAGAAAGACTGGTGGCTGCCAAAGGTGTGGAGGATGGGGGGAATGAGTGAAAATCAAAAGGTCCAAACTCCCAATTATAAGAGAAGTCAGTCCTGGGAATATAACGTACAGCATGGTGACCACACTTAATATCGTACTGTGTATCTGAAAGCTGTTGAGAGTAAAAAGTTCTCAGCATAAGAAAATAAAAACTCCAACTATATGTGGTGATAGATGTAAATTAAACATACAATGGTGATCATTTCACAATATATACATAGATTATCAAATCATTATGTTGTACACCTAAAAAAATGTTATATGTAACTGTATCTCAGTAAAACTGGAAAAAAAAAAAAGTCTAAGTAATTAATTCAGGTATGCTTTTATGTCCTTCAGCTATGTTTTATTATTTTCTCTATAAAGGTTTTATTATCTAGGTACTTCATAATTTTGACTGCTGCTGTGAATGCAACTTTTTTCCTAATACATTTTCTGACTGGGAAATACATTAATAGACATACAATACATTGCTGAGACAATCATGCAATTGATTCCTTTCTGCTGATCTTGGGTGTCCAATAAACTTGCTTACTTCCCTATCTCATTAATGATGGTGTAACTGTAAATTCTGCTGCATTTCCTAAGTTGAGAAGGATAACAACTGCCAGCCAAGTCCAATGCTCTAGAATTCACTTCTTTCATACAATACTAGGCAAGATATCCAGAAGAAATAAAAGGTACATTATTGTCTAGTTTCTGACTTTATGGGAATGCTTCTCAACTTTGTCTGACAGAGATTAGGGAAATTCCTTTAAATTCGTAGATTGCTCAGATTATCACTGAGATGAAGACTGAATTTTACTGAATTCTTTTTCTCCATCATTAATATATATTGTTCCCTGTTAATCTGTTAATGTGGTAACTACATTAAATAGATCTCTTGATGCTAAATCGCCTTACAATCTTTAAATTCTACTTGGTAATGACATATTATCTTAAGTACTTCTGTAATCAATTTGCTACTCAAGATATTTAAAGCCATTCTAAAATGTTTTAACTCTCCTTACCTGGTTTTGACTCACAAAATGCCTGAATTGTTATATATGACAAAAAGGACTTGTTCCTTGCAAAGATTCATAAAATTCACCTATAAAAACTCTGTGCCTGGCATCTTTGAGCAAAAGTTTTGATTAAATCAATTCAAGGCCACTGGCTTAGTCAAGGTCTCTATTTCTATTTTTAAGTCACTTT